TACCGGAGCTAAACACCAAAACAGATAATTATTGCTCAGTTAAGGGTCACAATAACAACAACTACTTTCCAGAAAATTGCTGAATAACCGTCAGTATATCAGCCTTCATGTAAACATGGAAATTCGAGCTAACTTTGTAAAACCTTAAGAACAGCTATACTATATATTTCTTGGTCCTACTAACAAGTATTGAGTGTGTCACCAAACCTGATATAGATTATTCTTCTGTGCCAAAGACCTCCCTTGTTGCCAGAACATTAAAAATGAGACATGCTATTGCAACAGATTCCAAATAAAGGTTATTTAGGACATCTGCTAAAAACTACTGCTCAGCTATTTTAGGAAATTACTGAGCATTTTCTTAAAAAAACAACAACGAAAAAAGCTATATATGTGACCCATTTTTAAAGATTTAAGTCTTCAGTAGTGGACAAATAGCCTTGGGGCTGACACCCACAGACAGGGAAGTCTAAATATTTAGAGCTTGACTAACACATTGGTTTTCCTCTTTTCATGGTATTTGCTGACAATAGACATAAAGAAAGATATAAGATTTATATATTATCATAACCTTGTCATTTCTGTCCTTCCAAAATCATACTTTGGCTAATAAACAAAAGTCAGCTCTAAGTGATTCTGACCAGCGTTTGCTGTTGTGGCCCGAGGCCCTGGACCAGCCTTCCTATTGATGTCAGGTTACTGAACAATATCAACATGAGGTTAGTCAACAATGTTTACTTTGTAAACAGCGTCTGAAAACGTGTTTGTACTGAGGTTTTTTTTATTGATGTCTGTAAAACCCTGTATGAGAGCCGTGACAAACTGAAATCAGGGGCCTGTGTCTTACAAAGCAGACTTAATGGAAAACAGCACAGAGTAAAACCCAAAACAGCTCAGTTTACTTCAGTCTGTGTTGGGTTCCGGTCCTACTTTATATAGTTGTCCAGCTACCTTTATTAATCCCGCTTTAGGAGACTTTAGTCTGCTGGGCTGAGTTTTATATTTGTACGTGTCATATTCACCAAGGTAACCGTCTGACATCCCCACTCACTGTCTGTCTCTGTCCTGTTGTCCTTCTCCTTCGAGCAAACGCCCTGCTCAGACGGGCCTTGACCGGCGACATCAGTGCAGGGCGTCTGGGGAGAGGGCGGGGACCGTCTCTTGGCTGTTTGCTTCAAATCATCCCGTTCCCATGGAAACGCAGCCATGGGAGTGGAGAAGGAGTCCGATTGGTCGGATGGATGGCGGTGCGGTGTGTTTCTGTGTTGTTGTCGTGGTAACGAGGCTGTGGCCACTTCTGAGAACTGGAGCCGTTGCTGAAGGGAGGAGAGGATTAGATGAGGAGACAAAAGGAGGGATGTCAAACTAGAAAGAACATTTTAGCAGAATTTACAAACAACGAGGCTCTAGGGTTCAAGCTCTCTCACTTTGACTTTAACAGCCTTTCATTTAAGAATGACTTATTGCCATTATATTCATAATATATAATACTTCCTGAGTGATAATTGGACTCAAAGGACTTGGACTAAAAACTAAAAAGGCATAAATTGGGTGATATTCCATATTTTTCTTATTGTAAACAAGTCTCACAACAAAACCAGCAGCAGTAAACACTGGCACTCTAGTGTATTTTAAGTTGAACCCAGGAACGCAGTTCGGCTTCCTAAACACTCACTAACGCACCTAATCGGCTCCGAACATGGGCACTGTAGTTCATTTAGCGCTTCATCTTCAACAAATACTCTATTTCTCCTGTTTGAGTAATATTTGCTAAACTCTACAGCCTCCAGCTGTTTCAGGAATTACTGAGCTGTTTTTTTAAAGAATTAATGTATGCATTTGTGACCTTTCTAAAGATTTATGGCCTCAGTAGGAACCAATGGGTTTGAGAGCCACAGACAGGCTGGGGAAGTCAGAAAGTATAGAGAGATACTGTGCTGTATAGATGATTTTGTTTTCTTCCTGGGATTTGATCATAATAACAAAAATATGGAATATAGCCAGACTTCTTATCCTTCAAGCAAACTGTAATCTTCTTTCTTGTTATACTTGAATGTTGTTGATACCTCTTCCAGTCAAAACATCTTTGTAGAGGAATGTAAACCACACAGTGTGATCTGAAGTTGAAGTGAAGGAGAGGAGAGGAAAAACAGAGAAGAGAACGTATGCAGATATTGTAGCAAGTAGAGTAGGGGAAAAAAGGAAATTAAAAGAAAGAAGATTACATATCAAATCCCTCTGCAGTGGACCTCACTGTGAAGCTGATGATACACAGCCGACATACTGAGGCGATGCAGAGCTGTAATTATGCTTTCAGCAGGGACTGGAGTTGGTTAGAGGCAGAGATCCTGCTCATATTACAGCAGCTCATTTTGTTATAAATGATTGATTTAATGAATCTCAACCTCTCTCGCTTCCTTTTTTCCATCTATCCATTTATCTATCCATCTATCCACCTATCTATCTATCTATCAATAGGTGAGAGATGTATATCCAAAAATGAACATGGAATCAGCTTACAGACCTCACAGCCAATGTTTGAATCATTCAATATTCAATATGCCTAGAAGCTAGATCATCTCTCTCTTTTTCCATCTCTTACTCTCCCTCTCTTTTTCCTTTTGTCTATCTACATGCTTCTCTCTCTGTTATCATCTGTGCACACTTATAGACTATCAAACTTTGCAGCTGTCAACATGAGCCACATTCATAATTTAATTTATCTATCCATCTATCTATCAATATCAAATCTAAACAAGCACATCTCAATCAACCCATATGAAGACATGACATGAACAGCAACAACAACGCTGCTCTCTTAGACAGAGTCAAACCCTCTGTCAATGGTGTAGGTAACTCATACATAAACATGACTTACAATAAACAGAAATGATGTTTGCGAGACGTTTAAACAGAGAGACAGGCAGGTTGACAGACAGACAGACAGACAGGGCTAGACAGTGCATACAGAGAAGATACCCAAGTGTGACGTTAAAAATAGAAAAATTGCAAAGATGTGCAGGATCTTCCGTCTGATGCGTTTGTCCCCTTTTTAGCATACATAGAATGGAAACATGTCCATGAATTGTTGCATTTGCAGTTTTTGGGTTTTTATTTTTACATTCCTTTTATTTGTTATGCCTTTTGTTCATTTGATGGATTTTTCTCTTTTGCCTTGAACAGGTTCATAATTATGTGCAGCTGCATGTGTCTGTGTGTTGACCTCTCCAGTAGACACCAGGGTGTTTAATATTCTAGTCTGACACTGACTTTCTGTGGCCAATCATCACACACACTTGTACACTTATAACACACACACGCACGCACGCACGCACATTTAAATGACGCCCCGCTGCCAAATAATTTCACTGCAGGCTCTTAAGCAGAGTTAATCAACTCTAATCAATGTTCATATTATAAACACAAAGATAACTTGATAATGCTAAACATAATATAGACCAAAGATTAGAAGGCTTGTCTTCTGACAGATGGCACCGCTACATCGATTAAGTTTGTTAAAGTTCCTGACCCATAGGAGGGTTATGGGAAGATTAAAATAGGTTCTCAAATCATTCTCATATGTGTGTTGGTGAGAAATGAGCCTCTGCTTAAGTTGCCAATACTATTTTAGATCTTTGCCATGAAACAGCAGTTCAGTTGAGCTGTTGTTACTGTAAATAGTGATAGTACATTATGCTGTAAACATTATACCCCAGAGCATACATATAATTTTGCTCTAATATTGCCATTTGAACCTTAACAGTAGTATGGCAATTTTTTGTCCTGAGGGTAATGCTAGAGGAAAGGTGATGGGGTCAATAAAATCAACATCATGATGTAAATCATTTGTCTTGACATTTTGACCTGGCAGCAGCTCAAGAGGAAAGCTCAAATATTGTTCAAAATGCTCCGTAAATTTCAATTTTAATATTAGAGTTTGATATTTATTGTCGGAAAGAGAAATCCTGGCTTGATGTTAGTCTTAAAAGAAAAGGTCAGTCGGTCACGAACACGATTACAATTTATCCTCTGAAGGCCATGAATGTTCACAGCAAAAATTAGTTAGCAAGCTACCTTTATCATGCAGAAATTCTCACCTTAGTGTGGCACCAGATGAATGGTCACAGGGTCACAAAAAACATATGGAATCATTCACTGGGAACCATAAATAGCAATACAAAACTTCACAGCTGTCTGACCAACTCAAAACCATATGGATCGGTGTCGTACTTACAGACAGAATCAAATCATGTGATTAAGGCTAAGTCACACGTTTATATTCAGAGCCAGAGAGTATTTAATAATCTAAGTGATAAGTAAATGTTCTGATACTTGTATCAGGGGAAAAAGCAAGCTCATAAAAATAGCAGAAGCAGGCAGTCGAAAGTGAAGAACAGATGTGAATAGAAAAATACATGATGGCTGTGGAGCTCCTGGCTACATTCAGAGAGCACAGCAGGAGGGATGTTCGGAACATTCACTTTTTTCTATTGCAAATCTTCTCTGAAATAATTCACCTGACTTGGTATGAAAGCTCTGCGTGTGAGTTTGTCTCAGATTAGAACCGTCTCTTCGAACACACGATTGGGGGGGGGGTCTGTATTGTTGACAGAGGATTCATAGAGCAGAGGCATTTGTTCTCGGCTCTTTTTCACAATAACTCACTAATGACTCAAGCACCAATTGTCCATTTCCGTATGTTTGTTATTACTTTTATTAATTATTATCATCGTCATCATCATCAACATTATTCTTCAAGTTTAGCTGTGTAACAAACTTTTTCTTGGCTGTCAAAATATGTTGAAATATCATTTTTGCATGAAATAAAACCTAAAAACAATAACATACAGAAAGGTAGCAGAATAAAATACAACATGAGAAAGAAAAAAAAACTAAAAAAAAAAATCAAATTTTTCTATAAAAGCCATTCAACTGAACAGAGACAAAATTATACTAAAATATATTGGTTAAATGTACATAGTTGGTGTGTGTGTTTGTGTGTGCATGCATGTGTGTGTGTGTGTCTGACCATTAATAAACTGGCCTTCAGCTCCCTTGTCTCCCATGTTTAACACTGTACATTCCAAAATGTACACTCAATCCGTACCAATGCCGGTGTGTGTCTTTGTATGTGTACATGTGTGTGTTGTCCCTTCCTTGGCAATAAGAACATAATAAATGGAGTGCAAGCAACAGCATCATTTTCTATAACACATTCTGACAAAGACAAAAATTAAAACACTTGTTAAGGCTCCCCAATGTAAACGCTGATGTGAAATGCCATCAAACCTAAAACATACACTCATTATTGAAGTAAAACAAGGTCAAGTCATGCGTGTCCTGCAGAACCTCATTTCTTACCAAAATCGCCTATTTTGAACCATAAAAATCCTATCGACATTAATATCTATATATGTTTTTGATATACAGTATCCTTACATGAGTCATGGGAGACAATGTTAAGCTGGTAAATACACAAAAGAAGATATTTGGATAGGAAAGGGTTCTGCAGAGCACTTACAATATGAAAAGTGTGCATAAGCAAAGTTTTCTTTATTATAAATCCTGTGTTCTTTTTACTTTAAGCTCAGTAAGTACAGGGGGAAAGATTTTCTTTCAAAAGCTAAACTACTGAAATATTAATAAATATGATTTTGGCATCAGAATGTGTCTCCAGCTCACTGAGAAATCCTTGTGGTTCATCAAGATGAAGATATACACCCAGATTTAACAAAAAAGTAAACTATTTGATCCTTTCTTTCTCTCCCTTTCTCCCACTGTTTCGTTTAAATCCCACGATATTTTTTACCCAAGGATTTAACATCTTTTATAAGATGAAAATTCAGATAGTATTTTTATCAAATGTGAGTCCCGTTGGCAATAAAAGAATAAACCTAAATCAGAGAAAAACCACACTTTGATTTTTTAGCAAGTACTTGAAATCTTACAGCTGGTAACAATTTCTTTCAACGAATCCAAGGCCTGTTCAAGTAGGACAGAAGTGTAACCAAAACAAATTCAACATATGCAGTTACTGTCAGTTCAGGGGTAACTGTGTCAACGTCAGCTTTTTGGGCGCAACACAGTATGACACAATTACCCATCTCCCATTTAAAAAACCCCTCGATGTGTGTACCAACTGAGAATACCTTTATCAAAAGAACTGATGCAAAAAAGTGGAGGAATACAGAAGAGGTGAGTGGTAGAGGGTAGTAGTAACAGGTGGAGGGATAAAAATACAGATAGATGGAAGTATATGTCAAATTAGACAACAGATGAGAAAGATACAAGTGATTAAAAAACAGAAGAGAGGGGATAAATGGATGCATAAACTGAACCTCTTTTTATCAGCAACTACAAGCGTCATTTGATCCCATTCTCCCTCTATTCATCCACCTTCTCCCCATATATTCTTCAAAGGCACCCATCTAGCCATCTCAGCAGGTATCCCTCAGTTCTTTTGTTTGTTCTGCCATTTTTAGCATTGCCTCATCCTTTGCTCTTTTTTTTGTTGTTGCTACATTTGCAAATGTAAACAGTTATTATGCTAGCAGCCCCTTTAAGAGATGCCCATAACTAAAATGTATATTCTAAAAACTTTAACACATTAGCACAAGAAATTTCCTAGAATAAAGACAATTCAAACATATTTGTGAATTGGCTTCATCAGTCCTTATACAGCATGATGGAACACATTCGGCAAAAAAAAGGGCAAACTTCAGAACAAAAGTATCTTCAAACCATGTCACTAATGCAGTTCAAAAGCTTTCATGTGACAGGTGGGCTATGGATAGCCATACATGGTAAAGGTGTTAAGGAAACTAAAAAACAAAAATCCCTACACTTAAAACCAGACTGGGATGTATGTTAGACACCATGGTGGCACATTTGATTGTGTGCCATCCCAAATAGTTAGACTGCAGCAGTGACAAGTCTTTTCAGCCATGACTGTGATAAGCCCGACTTCCAACTCCAATGTAAATATGTTGCACCAATAGTTTGAATGGTTTCTTAGTGTTTTAATGTGACATATTCAGTACTGTGTGCAGTGCTGTTTAAACATGGCTGTTTTTTTTGGCTAGATGCAAATGCAATATACTTTGAGCATTTCAACAGAAACTGAGAATGGTTTATATACGTCATGATCAATTATTCAAAAGATTAGAAAATCTAAATTCCTACTATACTCAACATACAGAGTATACAAGCTCTTCCTATGTAAAGTAATACCTTAAGGTTTAACATAAATACTAGAGGTATTAACCTGCAACCAGCACTCCACAACACACTGATTGTTCTGGTGAATAGTAGTTTTATAGTTTGTTGCCTTGCTGTCTCAACATTTCTGCAAGAAAGAAATCTCATCTAACTGCTAGTTGACATAACCCCTAGAAAATGTATTAAAAACGATAAACTCCTTTTGAAAACACCTTTGCCATGATATGGGCACTCTGATGACATGACTGCATGCCTTAATTTAGCTTACATTGCCAAATAAACCAGATACAGAGTAGACAACATCTTGGTATTAAGTCTTTCATACAAAAGGGAAGAATATGCCTCAACATTTCTACAAAGTCGTGTACATACATGCAAAACTGAAAGATGATTAACTTGTGATTGACAGTTTACAGAGCAACCAATTTAACTTTTTAAAAGCACATATGGGTCTTTCTAATGGGCTGAAAATGCCAAGAGTGAATGGGTATCTGGACCATCAGACAGCTAGGCTGCAATCAAGTCTTATTATAGATGACTCTGGTGAGATGGTGCATGGGAATTAATAGAGAAGTACGTTTGCCCAACTTCTGCCAGACATGACTCATAACATACATAACTTTTGGACACAGATAAACATACCTTTTAGAAAAACTGTACAAGTTACCAGGCACTAGGCGGAATATTTTTCATTCATATCTTTTGGATAAGCATAGAAAAATATCTTTTTCTCACTCTCTCTTCCTTCCTTTCTTATATTTTCTTTCAGCCTATTATTATTTCCTTCAAAGTCCCTTGGTGTTTTTTGTTTTGTTTTGTTTTCTAGCAACTAAGGCAGCACGGCTGGAGAAGTGACTCTGTCTTTATAAAAATAAACAAGATGGCCACCGTGTTGCTCCATTCTGACGCATAGGGAGACTCATAGACCTGACTGTCAACACGCTGTCAATGATGAAAATAAATGATAAGAACTGTAAAATCTGGTTTAAAGAGAGACTCCGTTATGGTATTTGGTGGGTCTTTTCCTTAAGTGTGTTTAAAAGACTTATTTAGAACCCCAAAGTGGGCAATGAATTGTAGAGAAGAGGGATGAGTTAGTTGGAGTTGAAAGCAACATGATCATTTTACTTCATTGAATTATAAACTGTAACTTTACAATGTCATTTTGTGTTTTTTCAGTACTATTTAGGTCTAACATGTAACAGTTCCCATCCATAGAAAAAGGCAACTTGTTTTTGTAGATTTTATAAGACACTAACATGCTACATAGAGGTAACCTACCAAACACAAATATGAGATAGGCTGAATAAAACACTGTAGGCAAGAAGCTCTGTAGACTCAAAAGTTTACAGTTATCCCAAATAATTGATCCTCATAATAATATTTAAAGTTTATCTCCCTAAGTCTCTCTATAAAACCATGTAACCTAACAACATGTGAAAGACACACAGAAAAAAGTTACATACTAAGACCATTTTGACCTATTAACACAAAGAACATGATATAAGAGAACATTATGTAACATGCTAAAACCATTAGACCATTAACATGTAAAAATGATGTGTCACATGCTATGAAACAGGCGGGTTGGTGTGCAACACGTGTGACCCCTGAGGACTGAAATACCAAGCGCAAGCCTTCATTATTTTACATCATCGTTTGGGGACAGACACATCCTTTGATCCTTACACATATAAACGCAATTACACAAATGCACACATACACACAACCCCCTCTTTTGCTGTACCATTTCTGTTAGACGGCTGTTATCAATGTAACAAGTCTCCATAGGAACACAAACAACAAACAGCTCAAAAAAGGAAAAACTCAAATAAACTAATTTTTATAGTACCATTTCCTGCAAAAAAGCATTATTTGTCTTTACAAAATAACATATTATATATAGGAAAGTGTAGCAAATTGCATGTTTTGTACTATAACATCATCATAATTATTATTACCATTATTATTATTAATATAAATGTTAAGCAGGTTAATAGATGGTTGTTCTATTAGGCAGGCAGCCAGGCACGTAGCTAGTATCATGGCACGGAGGAAGGTAGAAAATAAAGTCAGGTTCGATCCAAATGGATGAAGAGAACACTTCGGTCCGGAATTACTCCGGTTTAACCAGTTGAAACTGGTTTTAAGCAGTTCAAAAAGTCACGGTCAAATCAAACACAACCAGTCTCCCATTTTGGGGCACTTTGCAGCGGTGGGGATTTTGCATTGACAGTTTCAGAGACAACAGGGCACAAGTGAAAGAAACCAACTGATCATTTTGTACCAAGGTAACACCGGCTTAACTGGAACAAACTGGTTTAACGCTGACCAGTTTCAAAGAGTCAAAATAAGGTTTTGGTGTTGGATCCATTTGCACAGCGGTGAAAGAGTCAAAAACATGCTGTGGACCAGAACAAATAGTTCTAACCAGATCAGATCTGGTTGTACCAAGATAGAATAGTTTGAATGATGCATCAGACTAGTCTGGACCAGCTCTGGGTTTAGTTTAGCATGGTGCATAACAGACCAGCTCAGTTGAGTTCAGTTAAAGTGTTTTGCTTCTAGCATTTTTTATATTTTTTTGCTCTGCTGTATGGCGGCTGTGCAAGTTCTGAGCTCCTCAAACTCATCCTAAATGAGACCAGTCCAACTTTCATTCGAGTTTCCAATCCTCTTATTTGGAAAGCACATGAAGTGGCTGTTTATTAAAGGTGATTTAAGCTGAATGCCCGGACTCTGTTGTTGAATACTTGCCACAGAGCTGTCAAGTGACCGTCACTCAACACAGGATTCAGGCCATTCCTCCAAACTGTCCCTGCAGCAGTTCAGCGGAATCCTACAATGATTTTTGACCATTTTGACAGCCGAGTGCTTCCAGCATAAGGATGTGTTCCATTTAGTGCCCAGGATAGGCCCATTTTGACATGAGCTAGCCTCCAGGAACGTGGAGACATACAGCTTATTCATCCAATAAAACGCATTCTTGTTTGTGTGAGTCAAAGGCATCGGATTAATTACTCTCTGCGTTCTCATCTAAGTTTTTAGATTCAGCAACAGCTGTGACCTCTGTGTCTTTTGTGATATCATCACTACTATTGGACACCATCTTGTCTCCCGTTTCCTGGTCTGTTATGTCAGGACCCTCTCCTCTTAACTCCTTTTCAACTCCTGTTTCATTGTCAGTGGCATCATTGCCTGTAATTTCTTTTGCTTGGTTGTCGTGACAAACTCCTATAACATCATTGCTTTCATCTGTGATCTCCCTGTGACCACCTTCATCTTTTTCCTCTGGTGTCGCATTATGACACTCGTGCTCTGTGACGTTCTGAATTATGCCGTCTTGCATGTGACTCCTGTTTTGTGACTTTTTGTCTGTGTACCTGTGTAAGCCCCTCTGTATGTGTGTGGTGAAATCATAGCGGTCCACACACACGTGTAGGCAAAAACTGCATTGGTATGGTCCCTGGTCACCGTGGCAACTCATGTGCAGGGCATACATGACCTCGTCTAGGAAGTAGATCCCACAGTGGATGCAACGGTTGGTCAGGTCATCCTGCGTGGCCACTTCCACCATTGCGCGATTCGATGGGACACTTGACCGACTTTTTGTTAAATTATCCTTTTCTTCCTTTCCAACCTCCTCCCTCTGGTTCCCTCCTTCATCTGTCCTCTCCTCCTCCTCTTTCTCTCCTTTCCAGCTCTCTCTCAGCCTCTCAGCTAGTGGCGACTCTTGCCGTCTCCTTTCTGCACCGTTTGTTGACATGTGTGCATTTGCAACACTTGTATCTCTTTGTCTTATTGCAAGATCCAAAGGAACATCGTTTTCTAATGATGATGAGGAGGAGGTTTGGGAATGAAGAGGAGGAGGAGGATAGTGAGGAGGAGCTGGAGGAGGGGGAAGAGGAGAGTAGGGAGAGGCGCAGTAAGGCACCGTGTAGCTTTGCTGATGATGCTGTACTGGAGTCACCATTGCACCAAGATAATGAGCGTTATTTCCAAGGCTACCAGGGCTGCTTAGATTACTGATGCTACCAGGAACCCCAGAGGCAGCTGCCATCTTATACTTGGTCCAGAATCTGAGCCAATCCGACTCAGGGGTCAAATCAGGTGAGAGGGTTAATGGTAGGGGTAAGGAGAAAAGAGGATACTGATACTTTTCAATGGGTGAACCAGGAGGCGAATAACTAGATGGTTTTGATGGACGCATGTACTTTTCAATCGGACTGCCTCGCTCTGATCCCCCTCCGCCCTTACCTCCCTCTACTTTTGATATTATCCCTCCCTCAGAGATGCCCCCATTACCCTCTGCTACCAATGAGGAAGGGGGATGTGAAGGGAGGAGCAGAGGAGGCATGCGTCGGTGGATCTCCAATGTTTGATTGGCTAGGAAGGCTTGAGTGGATCTGGGTGAGCGCGAGCGAGGGGACGGCTGCTGGTTTTTGATTGATGCACAGCTTCTGTCTGACTCCTCCCCATTCATACGCTCCTCGCTGGTGATGCGTTGTTGCTTGGGGGCAGGGGGTTCAGATGACAGCGAATCAGGGTTGAGGCGTTTTCGGGTTCGACGTCGGATAATTTGTTCACCGTTGTTCTGCTTTATGATGTTTAGAGGTCTGGGTGTCTACAAGATAAAGGAAACAAAGGATATGGAAAAAAGTGAAGGATTAGTCAACATTTAGTAATAAATGCAATGATCATTTTCTGTTTTAACACTACTGATATGGTTTAATCATAAGTTATTTAAGGTTCCTTATTTGATCTGACTAATAATGTCAAGCGTATACAGCCCAGCATCATTTGACAGTAATGATATTAAAGTGATTGCATTAAAAAAAAGAAAGTGTAACATTTGAGTCAATACAAATTATTCATTTGAGCTTATGAAAAATAACTGCCTGTTTGCACATAAAGCCATTACATCACTGCTAAACTGTAACTACTGTTTTCTCAGTAAAACTTCCAATAGCTGATTAAAGTTTTAGTGAAGTGTTAATTCCTATGGACTTGACTTAGGTATAATTAACTGTAATTAACATATTCAGCACTCCTCCTGTGGTTTTTTGCCCTTACCACAAGGGGGCATGCTTACATCTGATGTAAACGGAGTTTGCCCTGAAGTCTCAATTTTTAATTTATTGACAGATCCTTCACTAACATATGAACATATGCCTTCATTAATGTCATAACTATAATCAAATTATCTCTCCCAGTGAAAATATAGTTAACAATTAAAAACACATAAAAGCAGGTTTTAAAGCTTAAAAGAGTTAAAAAGCCAACTGTCAAACAGAATTACAAAAAAAATAAAAACTGCTCTGCAACATCCACAACACAATTTCTGAAGCACTCCTCAGTTATTCAATTTCCCACTGGGATTAATAAAGTTCTTGATGATTGATTAAACTTTTAGAAGTTTCATTCCTAAATACATGCCAAAAAAAATCAAAACAGTCAAAAACATTCCCAGACAAATTAGCGAAAGATTTTCTTTCCTGGAAGTAAAATAAACTGTACAGTTTAAAGTGTCTTTTAAAGTGTTTACACTTCAGCTCAAAAGTAATGATTGCTATCCTTTCACTATTGAAGAACCTTTTTCATTAAAGCCTCCTGTCTAAACACACATTATAAATAGTGACCTCCACACAGCAGTAACGGAAATTAAATTCAACTGGCATAAAGACAAGAACTTTTCAAGCATCAAAAAAACTTTCAGTTTATTCAAATTTACCCTGGCATGTAGGTTGAATTTTTTTCGGCTTTCTGTAAACTAACTAAATTTCAGAAAAAAAACAAAGAGCCTTCTTACTGTGTACATGCATGTGTCTTCTGTCTCTACAAATCCCCTGCTGTGTCTGTATGTAAGTGATGTAGGGCTTTGGACATACATTGTGGCAGATGAAAACCAATCAATCACAAAAAGATGCACAGAGGGCCCAAGCAAGATCAAATGATGATGGAAGAAAATGGATGAATGAAAGAGGTGTTTCCAGTGGATGAAAAGCAAAAAGAACAGCTTCTATTTGAAGAAAAAAAGCACTAAACCTCTCAGGTTATGTCTGCTATATTTATGCTGGCATCCCCTAGCATGATTTATCCCTATGTATGCGAGTGGGAATGTGTGTCTAAAGGTATGTGTCGAGTAGCATGCTTGTGTGTGGCATGGGCAAAAGACTGTCATTCTCAGTGTGGGGTATATCAGTCACTATAGAGCAGCTATTTAAACTATTTAAGAAGAGAAAAGTCATTTATAGCCCCAATCTAGTGTCCATTTTAGACACCTGGATCATTACAGGCCTTTTCAGTCAAATCACTGACATTTTATCTTATCTTTATGGTCCTCAGGGTTTGTGTTTTTAAGAAAAAGGTAAAGGACACGAGAAGAGGGGAGACAGGAACAAAGTAGGTAAGATAAATGAAAAGGGGTAAAGAGTACTATATGGTGAGCACAGGAGGAAGAGGTAGGGAGGGGACATGAAATGAATAGGAAAAGAAAAGGGAGGGAGGCAGAGGCAGGAGGATAATGGCTGAGAAAAAAGGAAACAGTGACACCCATGGTGGAAACACTCCGCAGCTGTGTCCCAATTCCAAAGTACATACTGATTCTAGGCAGGATTTGATCTATTCTAACTCGAAAAGTGCTAAAATAAAGGCTACTCAAAACAGTCAGGACTAATACTATACAAACCCTTGATTTTTGAGTGTGCTATTGATGGACACAATTGCCCAACTATGCAAGTTACAAAGAAAATAGAGGAGGAATTGTGGATGGTGGTGAAACGCCATAGAAAACAACAAATAACTATACTTGTGTAACTGGCAGTAGCATTTTAAAGTTGCACTTTGATTGAGCTGAAATTGGGAGAGGGAAACAAGTTTCTCTTTCTTCTCTTATCGTCTGTTTCTGCCTTTCACCCGGTATACTTTCTGTTAACTGTTGCAATTTGTCCCTGCATTAGAAAGAAGTTTAACAGGTTTTGCTCAAGCCTTTCTCTCATTGCTCTTCCTCCCTGTCTGCCTCTAAATCTCCTCCTCCTCTTTACCTTGCTAGTTTATATTCAAGTGTTTTGGTCACAGTGTGTAACTACTATGTTGGATCTATCTATCTATCTCTATATATCTTTCTATATCTTTATCTTCTTGGATGTCCCCTCTCCCCTCCATCTCTTACTCTATATACACACCCTCCTCCTTCATTATCTCTGTCCTCACTCTTTACCTTAATCTCCTTTCTTTGTCTTCCTCCCTTTTCTCTCGCTCCTTGTTTTTCTTTCCCCGTCCCTTTATGTCTACCTTTTCCTCCCTCTTTATTCATAACTCTCCCTCACCCTCTCTCACTCTGAAGTGTTTTACTAGCTGCTATCCTCTCTAATAATGTGTGTAGAGCGTATAAAACTTTTATTATGGGATATAAAATACGGTTGTCGTGAAGATAGTCAAGAGTAGAGGGGGGGGGGACTGGAACGTGATTGGAGCAGCAGATGAGATGAACAGGTTGAACCAAGGACATATGTAGGGGCAGGAAAGAGTAAACTGTGATTGCTTGTCATCCTCTAAAAGGTCTTTAAAGCTCCATTCGATAATTGTGGCGTAGTGCTCTGGGTTGTAACATGGTCAGCCCATGATGCCTTTATTAACACTGTGATTTATTACACTCAAACAATGTTGTTCACTTGGAGCTGAGCTTAAAAAGACAATATGTGAACATGAATCTGGCATATATATTTACATTGAAGCCCTGAAGGCTTGTTTCACGCTGGTAATATTTGTAAACCCCCAAGTTAAATAGGTATATTGAAGTGTGAAATTAGCGTAAGCTCCATAAAAACATATCTGAGGTAAGGAAGCTCAATATTCTGAAGTCAACTAAATTCCAGGCGGGGTCTTTATCTCATCTGTAACTCATGCAGTCTAATCTAATTAAATTTGGGATTTCCATAGACTTTCCCCAGGCTTAGATGGTAAAGTTGATTCATTCCATCATATTTCTCACTGGCTCACTGTGACTGCTGACATGGTCTGTAACTCCCAGCACCCACCAAATCAAATATACTTTATCCACAATATTACTTTTTTCACAGCGGGATTCACAGAATATAAACAAAAATTTAACTGCAGTGTGCACCATTTAATTTGCGTCGTATGCTAATTTGTCCGACAGCAGGAATGATAATTAGCGGTCAAAACCACCCTGTGGATGCACTAAAACACAGCGGAGTCCATAAAATACTCTAAAGTACTGGGTTCCTGATCCAGTACAACCTTTATGAGCGAGTACATGTAGGTCTCTTATGAGTGGATAGTGGATAGGAGTTCAGCACTGCAAATTAACTTTTGTATGATGATACACCTGAGTTTAGTAGAGTACTTTAGTTTGTAGATATTATATTTTCAGTCCCTTCTGCTTCTAAAATGTAAATTCCCTTTCTTGTATCTCTTCAAATGTGTGTGAAATAAAATTTGAATAAAGGGGATCACAAATATGTAGAAACTGAAACTTAATCTACCACATCTGATACACTTATTTCCATTCATCTCAAGTCTACAGTTTCTCTTTATTAATCCACTGTGTGATGCACTGCTTGGTGTTTGCATGCACCTGTAGATGTCTGCGTATGACTTACCGAATGTAGTTTTTGGTATAAACCACATGCGTTGCAGACGTAGCCTCCATTAGCGTTCTTCCTCCACAAGGATGTCTTGGTGGTCAGACAGTTCGCACAGAAAACCCCACTTCCTCTGCGCCGCTGTGGATGAAGAAAGACAGACAACATTAGAGAGTGGAGTAAAAAATGTAGATTAATAATGAAACTGAAATATACGAAGCCATAGAGAGAAAAGAACGGGGAAAAAAGAGAAAATGTTGACTTAAGTTAGAGATACCTTTTGTTATTTTCACACTTCTCAAGAACAATGACTTGGTAGTAAGGTTAGGAGCGAGAGAGGGAAAGAAAACAGACTGACTTGGTGGCAGGGCAATGATGTGCTCTCATTTATCATGCCTAATGGGAAATCCTATTGTTCTCCCCTACACTGATTTTCTCTGAGTAGAACAAGGTTAATAAAAACACCAAAGTATACTTCAATGAAAAAAGAAAATGATCTAGTCGAGCTGAATAAATTGTGTGTGTTTTAAATATGTGAGTATGTGTCTCAGAGAGATCTCTTGTAAGAGAGGTGTGAGATACTGCAGTAATTTCGTCAGCACTACTCAACAGACGTGGAAACGAGATGAGTTATGCTTTCACCTTGTAGCATAGTGTTTCAGTGTTTATCTGAACTGCAGGAGGTACTTTATAGGCAAGTGTTTGACTTTTACTGTATTAGTGTGCATATTCTCATACACACACACACACACACACACACACACACACACACACATATATATTATATATATACACATATACATATATCACACACACACACACACACCTCTGCAGTTCATGGAGCAGTGGTGCATAGCAAAGTAGTATGAGAAAGGAAGGGTGGGTGGGTGGGTTGGTGGGAGGGTTGAAAAGGCCAATTGTCGTGGCAACGTGCTCCATCACAGTAATGAGCCAATCACAACGTTTCTCCATCCCATTAAGTCTCTGGCCCCATTCACCACCTTTATGACCCTGAAAGGACAGCATACCTCATCTTTCTCCACCACGATCTGTTTCTCTCTCTATCTGACTGTCTATCCAACCATTTCTTTCTCTTTGTCTCTCCTTCAAGTTTTAACTCAACACTGCTGCTTGTGCAAACTTAATTTTTTTCCTCTTAGTCTTTCCATCCAGTCTTCTCTTTAGTTCTCTATTTTAGTTTACTTTTTAGTGTGTTTTACTGATTTAAATATTCGAAAGATCAGCATGTAATTAATTTTTTTCTTCACTGAAAAAACACACTGCTGTGTGTTGTGTGTATTTCTGTCTTTCAAACCTCATTATTGAACTCACTATGGTTGTGTTAGCGAATGTCTGCATACAGTATGTGCCTATGGCGAAAATCCATAACACACATTCTGTGTATCAGCCATCTTTCCCCCTTCTCTCTGCCTCTTTTTTTTCTTCACTATAATCCCAATCTGTTTCTCCATCTCCCTCCATCATGGACTTTGTGTCCACTGGGAACTTCTCCTTTCAGCGCTGGCTTCTTGTTGTTTTATTTTCATGACAGTGCTGAGAGCTAAGCATATTTTGGGAGGGCTCAGAGCACCCAGTGCTAGAAGTTAAAAACAATTCAACTTTTCACAAAAGAGTGCTGCACTTCAATCAGGCTTTCTGTAGTCTCAGAGCTACAGATGGAGCCACTACCAGCACCTCCACCGAGCATCTGTTTCGAACTGCCAGCTAAAAGCACAACGGCCCGGTGGGCACAGCACTGTTCAGTTTATTTATGCAAGCAAATGTACAGCTTTACAAGATCACAGCACAATTAACCACTTTACATTTCTCTGGCAACACACACCAACCAGAGACATGCACATATACGTCCTAAACAATGCAATGTGATACATTTGAATTATATAATTTGTCAGTTCTGGTAATTATTATTAAGTATGGCAACTCTGAAAAGATACTGTTTAAATGCTAACAACTTTTAAACGTAATAGCAAAAGTCATATTGAACATGTGAGGCAAGAATCCATCATTTGCAGCACAGAAACAAGGAAGTCAGGTCCCCTTAAAGTGGAAAATCATTATTCAAAATGAATTATACGACCATCAAAATAGCAACGGATCAGGAACTGATTAAACATCTGTACTAGACAGTGTTTAAAGATTAACCATCAAACTCTACTGCCAGGGAAAAGTGGTTTAATAGCTCTTTTGTTTCCTTGCTGTGATTTTAGCTCATAAACAGACATTTACGATGACATTCTTCATACTGTCTGGATCAGGCTAGAAAATCAAACTTTGAGATTGTTCAAAGATTTAAAACAAGGAAACACCATAGATGTGTTTATTTTTACTGGAAAAAATTTGTCTATCAGCCTCAAAATGTTTATAATAAAACATCCTGTTTCCCATAATGTTGTATGTAATAAACACCTGAGCTAATATTAGAGTCTTTATGGTACATGTGTTTTTGTGCATCTAGCAGAGAACTTACATGATCAAATCCTCTCAGTGGCACACTCAGCCAGAGTCAGTGTGTGTGTGTGTGTGTGTGTGTGTGTGTGCCTCCCTATGTGTATATGTTGCACACACCATACGGTCACCACATGTAGAGAGACAGAGCCAGGTGATTGATTGATGCACGCTTCCTGTGTGTGTGTCGGTGTTGTGTTGTGGGTGTGTGTGTGTGTGTGTGTGGTGTGTGTGTGGTGTGTGTGTTTGTGTGTGTGTGTGTCTAGCGTTGCAAGCCAAACACTGCATCTGTCATCAGAATTCAGTTTCCCTCCGAGCGCCCAAATCACTCACATATGGCCCCACAGCTGCCCCTCATCGCAACACACACACACACACATACACCTGAAAATATGTGCTTCCACTGGCTAATGAAGGCATGCAAGATTTGGATGAGAGGCGGCAATCCAAGAGTGTGTGTGTGTTGGTCATATCTTGGCTACTCTAAAACCATGGTACAAGGATAGCACAGTGTGTGTGTGTGTGTG